TTTATATATATTGTTAGAAGTGGAGCCCTGTCTGACCCCCGCTTCCGTTCACCTGATCACGAAACGTCGCGATCTCCCGCTCCGCGCTCTCACTTCGAACGCGAAACAATCGCGACCATTCCCGCCTGGCGTCAATTAGCGGACCATCGGCGCCAACCACTCCCACATTTCTCTGTTGCCGTGAAGCGAAGCATCCCTTCGTTCCTTCCTGTTCGTGATAAAAGCTTCGGATGGCTCTCCTTGAGTTTAGAAGCCACGGTTTGAGTTCTTCTTCAGTTTTCTCGGGATAGAGGAAGGTTTCATCGGTGAAGAGGAAGAAAAGTGCAAGCGGTCATTCCTTAGAGTAGAAGGAAGAAGAAGGAAGAAAAGGAAGATTGCTCTCCTAGGCTTCTTCTTGGTGGCTTGTGACAGAAGAGAAACTGAGTTTATTTCTTTTGTAAGTTTATCTTCTTCGGTGTATCTCGGTGTAGAGTTTCTTTGGTGTATCTCGGTATAGAGTTTCTTCGATGTAACTCGATATACAGAGAGAAGAAAAAAGAGAGAAGAAGAGAGAGCAACGAAGTGAGAGATTCCTCTTGTAAGTTGAGGAGATCGACTTGTGTAAATTTTTGAAATAGTAAAATCCTCTGCAACTCCGTGGACGTAGGCAATTTGCCAAACCACGTAAATCTGTGTGTTCCGCTGTGGTGTTACTACTTTCTGGTATGAATATTTTCATTATTTGCCAAACCACGTAAATCTGTGTGTTCCGCTGTAGTGTTACTACTTTTTGGTATGAATCTTTTCATTTTTTTTACTTCGTCGATCGTTCTCCTGTTTGATTTATAAATATACCACAACAACTGGTGTGTATATATCTCGCAACAACAACTGGTATCAGAACTTTATTCAGATCTAAGGAAGAATGATGGCTGCAGATGAAGTGAAAGTTTCAGGGATCGAAAAATTTGATGACACAGATTTTAGTTATTGGAGAATGCAGATAGATGATTATCTTTATGGGAAGAAACTTCATCTTCCATTATTGGAAAAAAGACCTGAAAGAATAGATGATGATAAATGAAATTTGTTGGATCGACATGTTCTGAGGGTTATTTGATTGACCTTATTGAGGTCCGTTGCACACATCATTGTCAAGAAAATGATGACTGTAGATCTCATGGCAGTGTTATCAGGGGCGGATGATCAGATATGTATGAAAATCCATCAGTGAATAACAAGGTGCACTTGATGAATAAGTTATTCAATTTGAAGATGACAGAAGGTATTTTTATTGCTCAACACCTGAATGATTTCAATATTATCACAAATCAATTGTCATCTGTGGAAATTAATTTTGATGATGAGATATGTGCACTGATCTTGTTGGCTTCATTGCCAGATAGTTGGGAAGCTATGAGGATAGCAGTTAGCAGTTCTTCAGGTATATCTAAACTGAAATACAATGATATCGTGATTTGATTTTCGCTGAGGAAGTTCATAGGAAAGATTCTAACGATGTCTCAGGTTTAAGTTCAACACCAAATGTTGATTTCAGAGGCAGATGACATGACAAGAACTCAAGTATAAGGAGTTCAAAATCAAATTTTAGTAAGCAGGCAACCTATTGGAATTGTGGCAAGGCTGGTCACATAAAGAAGAACTGCAGGAATCCTAAGAATATGGAGAATGATATCACAAATGTGGTATCTGAAGAATTACAGGATGCACTATTGTTGGTAGTTCATAGTCTTGTTGAAAACTTGATATTGGATTCATTATTGGATTCAGAGGCTTTGAATGTGGTAGTAAATCTACCAGAGGCCACAGTGCAGGGCAGTGATGGAAGTGAAGAGGAAAGTGGGTCCAAAGCACCCATTTCTATTGTTCCACAGACAGTTGTTGAAGAACCCCAATGCTATGTAATGGAAGTGAGGAGGAAAGTGGGTCTGGGGCACCCATTTCTATTGTTTTCACAGACAGATGTTGAAAAACAACAGAGCTATGAAGAAAACTTGCAAGATAAAAGTTCGAGCAAGTGGGAGCTAGACTTGTTCAAAAAAGCTTTCAACAGAGGCAGGATGTTGCCCATGTAATGGGAGTTGTAAGAAGAGACAAGTGTGACCCATGAAATAGCTTGGAGGTGCAAAGCTATGTGGAGCCTGCTGATATGTTGACTGAGGGTGTTACTCTTGAGAAACTGAAGTTGTGCATAGCTTCAATTGGTCTTCTGGAGCGAAGACAGAGGCTTTGAGTTGCAGAGGTGGAGGATTCAAGTTGGAGGATTTATGTGGTGGATTCATGTTTGAAGAAAAAGAGGACACTGCTAGTGGAGGATATCAGTTTGAGAAAGGAGATGTTGCAGCCTGTGTACCGGTCTCCAAGTGGGAGAATTGTTAGAAACGGTGGAGCCTAATCCACTATGCTTTGGCGATTACTTTGCTTCGGAGAGTCACACCTCTTCACAAATAACAACTCCCGCCTTTCTCTTTTGTGAAGCGAATCATCTCTTCTCTCCCTCCTGTTCGTGATAAAAGTTTTGGATGACTCTCCTTGGGTTAAGAAGTCACACTTTTGAGTTCTTCTTCAGTTTTCTCGGGATAGAGGAAGGTTTCCTTAAGGCAAAGGAAGAGAAGTGAAAGGAGGAGCAGTTCCTTGCGGCTGAAGGAAGAAGAAGAAAGAAGAAGAAGATTGTTCTTCCTAGGCTTCTTCTTGGTGGCTTGTGGCAGAAGAGAAATTGAGTTTGTTTCTCTTGTAAGTTTGTCTTCTTCGGTATATCTCGGTGTAGAGTTTTCTTTGGTGTATCTCGGTATAGAGAGAGAAGAACAGAGAGAGCAACGAAGAGTGAGAGATTCCTCTTGTAAGTCGAGGTGATCGACTTGTGTAAATTCCTCAAGTAGTAAAATCCTCTGCAACTCTGTAGACGTAGACAATTTGCCGAATCACGTAAATCTGTGTGTTCTTCTGTATTGTTCTTTTATGGTGTGAATTTTACTCGTTCTATTTTTGCTTCGTCGATCGTTCTCCTGTTTGATTTATATATATACCACATCATTTGTTGTATATCTAGATCTCGCAACAACAACATAGCTATGGATAATAAGTTTTATAAAGAAAGCTAACGGCTTAACACGAAGGAAGCGTGCTTCTTGGCTGCTGAGAGGAAGCAAGGACTGCCTGTTTTTGCATGAAATTGCTTCTAAAATCGGAATACAGATAGAGAGAGAAAGTTTATTGTTTGAGCAATCACATTTTAACATTCTTGGTAAATCAATATTCGATGATTTAAGAAATGGAACTACTTATGCCACCATTTTTTACATAGAAAGTTTATTAAAGCACGGACTCATGACACTTTCTAACCTCTATTTTATTGATTTCTAAGTGATAACATTTTTTGCTAAATAAGTCTGATTTTTTATACAAATTAGTGATGATAAATTTATGATAAATTTGTTGTTAATTGAAGGCCTCTGATTTTCTTATCCAATATTTTAATGCATAAACTTAAATTATTATAAGGTATGATTGAATGTTGTGAATCGAGCATTCCAACACAGGATGAAATTCTGAATTTTTAAAAATTGAATCTCCTTATATATCTACATCAATTTCAACCTCTGCAGAACATAAATTATTTATTGCTTTGCAATGCCTACGAAAATACTGATTGATAATTTAAAGAAAGATAAATTGAAGAATATATTAAGTTTTGATTCATGTTAGAATATTCACGACGATGGAGTAATGAATTAACGTCTCAATGTTTAAATGAGAATCCATCAGACATTCAAATAAAAAAAATGTTCATCGAGACACTAGAAATTTTTACATAGAAAATTTGGAAAAGAAAAAATTATGGGGTCTACCCCAGTCTGAATAATTCACCATGAATTGATGATTTCACAACCAAGTCATTGTCTCATAAGAGGGATAGAGTCAAACAATTTCTCAAGATACAATAAATGTTGTAGAGTCGTAGGAGGTGATTCTATTTAGTGACAGTTGTTGAGATTCTAGTATCCTATCTTTAATGTGCATCGGTGCCTAGGGTTCAAGACAACATACCAATTTGTCGGGTGCTTCATTGTTCCATAAAGTACGTTGGGATGTCAGAATGCTTGATGTGATTTTACAGGGATCTTCATCGCAAGGAGCAAGTGATGGTTATTGGTGGTCGACCGCGGCCAACGAGTGATGATTGGTGGTCGAAAACTGCATGAGCAAGAAGCATTCAACAGATTGTCAATGTAGAATTTCGGAGTACAACTTCTTTTCCAAACTTTGGCTTTCCTTTGGCTTAGGGTTTATATACTCTCTTCAAAGTGGGGTAGAGTTTTATTTATATAGTTAAGATTGTAAATATGGGAAGAATCTAGACCATTGTGATCAGACAACCTGGGGAGATTCCTTCAATTGAATGATGTTCTTTGAACAATCAAGTATTTTAGTGATGTCAGAATTGAGTGATATTGAGCTCGTTAGATTTATTTTGTCGAGACATTCAATTTGAAGATAAGTTTGTTAGATTTTAAATTCATTTGACATTCCAATTATACACTAAAGCTTCTAAAAGTGATTTAAAAGCTTAAATTATGCTCGATTTAACTTATAATTGGACAATTTTGGTATCATTAGGTTCGTGTTGTCCATCTGGTCAGTTTGACCAAAAAATTGCTGAAATTGGAGTTTTTGATAATTTTTAAACAAAATTTTAACATTTTTTACTTAAAAATTTATCTTGAAATTCGTGTCATATCTCGAGGTGCATTATATCTTTTGAGCAGATACTTACTCAAAAAAATCAAAAAAGAGAAAAAAAACAATTTTTTTATTCTTCACAACATTGATTACATTAATATTTATACTTCTTATAAAAACATTGATAGCTGAATTCATAATTTGATTATTTATATTCTAAATAAAATAGACAGAAATAATCACAGCATACAACAGCGATTCTCCAGCATGTTGCAATATTTTAATCCTCCATCCATTTTTACTGTTGTAATCATCTTCACCTGATACAGAACCCTGGCCGGATCCATGCCCGCTCCCACTTCCTTCTCCGCCGCCTGATCCTCCACCACCTCCGCCGCCGCCACCAGCGCTCCCATAACCTCCACCAGCCGCTCCACCATGTCCACCTCCCTCACCATACCCAGACCCAGATCCAGAACCATTCCCTGAACCACCACCTCCACCTTCACCCCCTCCACCTCCACCTCCCTTTCCATAACCACCACCCGCGGCTCCACCTTGTCCACCTCCCTCACCATGCCCCCCACCTTCTCCATAGCCAGACCCCGAGCCCAATCCGCCGCCACCACCGCTAATGCTCTTCAACGACTTTGCGGCGGAGGAAAGGCCCAAACTCATACTAATGAGAGCTAGAAAGACTAAAGCCCTGAACTTTGTGGTGCTGGCCATTGTGGCTTAAGGAATGATGGGTGAGAAGCTTTGGTGGACAAGTGAGTGGTATTTATAGCTAAGGGCTTGCACTTCATGGTGAAGTGCCTTTAGGTTTTCCAAATCGCTTGGCTGCCACTTCCACTTTGAGAAAAAAAGAAAAAAAGAAGGATCGAATTTTCTACGCATTGGTTGCCTTTTTTGAAAATTGGTTCTCATTAGCATTATGAAAAGATTATCTTCAACCTATCTAGATCAATTTTTTTATTTAAAGAAGAAATGTATTGATTAGATACACTGAACTAATTTAAATATCAACAACAAATTTATACAAAAAATTATGTCCAAATTTAAGTTTGTATAGCTTTATTCTATTTTTTGGGGGATGTTTTAAGCCATTTTTTTTCTATTTTGAAACTAATAATCAATTCAACATTCTTATAAGACCATTGCTATTTTCTGATTAGACATAAGAAAATTAGTTACATTAAGACAGCCGCATCTAGTAAATTTTGATAATAATACGTAATATGAGATTCTTTTTTAAAATATTTTCTTCCCTGCTCCATTTCCTTTCTTTGTTTTCTAAAGCTAGTCTATTCTCCTTTTGTAGTGGGTTCTTGCTCAAATGCCCAAATGAATTTCCCCATCATCTTTAATTTTGGAAAGCCAAAATAGAAATAAAAATTTCTTATATTTAAATAATATTTAAGATATTATGATGGATATAACGTTTAAATGTAAGGAAATAGTAATTTGAACATTGTATAATTATTAATGATAATATTTTTTTAAATTTTTATATTTTTAATGACATAATATATTTTAGCAGAAGCAGTTTAAACAGTCATATATATCGAACTCCACCAACCCTTTCTTATTACTACTAAGTTTTATCTTTTGTGAAAGTGTTTTTCTTTTGTATTCTTTATCGTTCTTTTCTCTATTTTAGTCATCAGTTTTCAAATCATGTATAAATTGTCTTTCTTTCTATATATGCCAATGTGATAATCTTCTTCTTTCTTTCTTTTGTTTATGCTCAATGCAAAAACTGTACAATTTCAATCCAATAAATCATGAAAAATTAGTTTTTCTCAAGCTGAAAACACACTTTTCATGTCTATGTGTGGTTCTGAGAAACATAGTTGCTTTTAACATTGATAATGAGAAATGAAGGTTCATAATAAAAATAAAAATAGTTTAGATAAGTATGACAGAAAAACAATATTTATTATAATTGTTGTGGTGATGTAAATACCTTTTAAAGCTGCCAAGTTATGTGAATATTGAATTTAAATGTATACATAGCTTGAATTTCCTCAAATAACACGTGAT